CAACAAGAAGCCTGCCAAGGTTGGTGCGAAGAAAAAGGCCATCGAGACCATATGCCAGCCCACCACCTACAAAGAAACCTGCCAAAGCAGCCTCGAAAAGGAGGCAGGTGACACCACCGACCCAAAGGACCTGATCAAGGCCGGGTTCAAGGTGGCGGCGGACAAAGTTAACGAGGTGATCAAGAATTCGAACACCTTGAAAGAGCATGCCAAGGATCCAATGACCAGCCAGGCTCTCGGCGTGTGCAAGGAATTGTTGGAAACCGCAGTTGAAGATCTCCTCGGCGCGGTTGATAAGATGGGGCCATTCGATGCTAGCAAGATCGATGACTACCTTGCAGATCTCAAGGTGTGGCTTAGCGCCGCCGTCAATCACCAGGCAACCTGCCTTGACGCGTTTAAAGACACCAAGGGCGAGGCCGGCGAGAAAATGAAGGGCTTTTTGAAGACAGCGCAAGAACTCACCAGCAATGGACTTGCCATGGTCTCGGAAATCTCTCGTCTCGTCGGTTCTCCTAAATTGAACTCTCACCGTCGCCTCATGTCCTCGTCAAAAGGTGGGCAGAGAAATAGGAATTATAAGCCAGTGCCAGGGTGGATGAGTGATCGCGATCTGGATCTCTTAACTGCCACTCCGGAGAGCTTGAAGCCCAACGTGGTTGTGGCTAAGGATGGGACTGGCAAGTACAAGACCATCAACGAGGCCTTGAAGGAGGTCCCACAGAAGAGCAAGGAGGCCTTTGTGATTTATATTAAGAAGGGAGTGTACGAAGAGACTGTCATCGTTGACAAGCAAATGACCAATGTTGTGATGATTGGTGACGGTCCAACCATGACCAGGATCAGCGGAAGCAAGAGCCACGCGGATGGTGTCACAACCATGAAGACCGCAACCTTTGGTACGTAACACTTAACATATTCATTCACCAAATTATTAACGGATGTTACACTACAAAAAAAATCTGGCAATAGCCATTAACACGTCACAGAGGTGGGATAAAATTACGAACATATTAGTAACCCTAGTGGTCAGTTTATATTGGTTACTGGATGGGGTTGAATTACGATTAACTATGCGTTCTAACTCTACCTCATTTTCTCACCCTCGTCTACACTTCGTTCGTGCAGCCGCACTTGGAAACTATTTCGTTGCCAAGGGAATTGGGTTCGAGAACACAGCAGGACACGTAAAGCACCAAGCTGTGGCACTGCGTGTGCAATCCGACTTCTCCATCTTCTTCAACTGCCACATGGACGCATACCAAGACACCCTCTACACCCAAACCTACCGCCAATTCTACCGCGACTGCACCATCACTGGTACAGTAGACTTCATCTTCGGTGATGGGGTGGCTTTGTTCCAAAACTGCAAGATGGTGGTGAGAAAGCCAGGGGAAACACAGGCTTGCATGGTGACAGCACAAGGCAGGACCGACCACAACGAGATCACCGGCATTTTCCTCCAAAACTGCACCATCACCGGTGAGCCAGATTACATGGCTGTCAAGGATAAGAACAAGGCATACTTGGGGAGGCCATGGAAGAACTTTGCAAGGGTAGTTGTGATGCAGTCATCGATTGACGAAGCCATTGCACCTGAAGGGTGGACAGAATGGACTGGTGAAGAATACCACCAAAACTGCTTCTTTGGTGAGTACGGAAACACGGGTCCCGGGTCGGACGTGACCCAAAGGGTCAAATGGTCAACTGTCAAGAGGCTCACTCCTGATCAAGCTGCGGCTTTCACCCCTGCTAGGGTGTTTGAGGGTGATAAGTGGATAAAGCCCAGTGGGGTTCCATATGTTCCTGGCATGATGCCCGTGTAATTCCCATGTGAAAAGCTTGGGACGCCAATTTTTTCATATGAAAATCTTACAAGACCAATTTTTCATATATAAAACAAAAGACAAATTTACATCATAGAGTATATCGTCTTGTGATTTTGTGGAACACCTTTTAATCTCATTCCAATTCGTTTGTCTTCACATACGAATCTGAGTCATGAAATCTTTTTTTTTTAACAAAGGGGATGGATATGGCCTTTTTCTATTTTATGGAGATCCTGTGACAAGTATATGAGACCCTCTTTCACGTAGTCTTCCAAAAAAGAAAGCAAAAAAATTATTTTTGGACAAGTATTGATGTCATAAAGCGAAACCTACAGCAACAATTCAAGCAAACTTTAAAACACACTCATTGTCAATCAACAAAAATCTTCATCACTTTTACAATATATCATTAAATAACAACCAAATCAACAACAAATTTTATTTCACTAAGTGAGATCGGCCGTATGAATCCTAAAACGTCACCGCGCTCGGTTTTGCTCCAAGTCTTTCATGAGCTCCAAGTACTCTGTATATTTTCTTGAAGTCTTTGTCTAAGTCCTCCTAGGTCTTCCTCTAACCCTTTTGCGTTGAGTCTCTGTCTCATAATCGCATTTTGTAACTATACCACATGTAGGTCTTGGTTGCTTGTGTCCAAACCACTTTAACTGATTTTCTCTCATCTTATCCTCAATTGCAGCCATTCCTAATTGACCTCAGATATCCTCGTTCTTAATCTTGTCATTTCCCTTGTGTCTACACATCCAACGCAACATTTTAATCTCTGCTACACTCATTTTTTGTACGCTTTGATATTAGACCGCCCAACATTTCGTGTTATAAAGCATTTCTAGTCTTATTATCGTCTTATAAAATTTCTCCTTGAGCTTAGTGGCATGCGATGATCGTACAACATACATAATGCACTCTTCCACTTCATCCATCAAGCTTGTATTTTATGGTTGAGATCTAAATCCAATTCCTTTTTTTTTTTTTTAATTTGCAAGATAGATACATGATAACGAAAGTGTTCACTTTTTAATACTTTCTAGTCTCCAATCCTCAACCCTATCTCATTTGGACCCCCATTCTACTGAACTTGCACTCCATATAGTGACCTACTTAGGTGAAAACCTTTAGATTCCAATACTTTCCATCAAAGATTAAGTTTCGCATTTACTCCCTCTTACGTCTCGTCTATCAACACTATATCATCTGTGAAAAGTATATACCAAGGAATATCATCTTGAATACGTCTCGTTAACTCATCTATTACCAACGCAAAAGGGAAATATTAAAGGTGAGCCTTGGTGTAATCCTATGGTTATGAGAAAGCTTTCAGTTTGTCCTTTTTGAGTTCTTATCGCAATCCTTGCTCCATCATACATGTCATTTATTGCATGTGTATATGTTACTCACATCATACTCATTTCTTCTCTAGAATCCGCTAAAGGATATCTTTTAGGACCCTACCATCTGTTTTTTCCAAATCTAGAACAACAACGCGAAAGTCCTTTTGCATATCTCTAAATCACTCCATCGATCTCTCTAAGAGATAGATTGCATTCATAGTCGAGCGCCCTGACATAAACCCAAATTGATCTGAGACCTGTGTTTCTTGGCTCAATCTATGCCCAATTACTCTCCCACAAAGCTTTATTGTATGACTCATTAACTTAACACCCCTACAAATAACAACCAAAAGAACTTCAAAATAAAAACCATCATCAAATAACCAAAACTCAATTCAATTGAGAGATAGTATAATTAAAAACAATTTTAGATAGAGGTGGCATTTTGGACCCAACTAGTAAACCCGACCCAACCCGACCCGGTAAAATCAATATTTGGGTGGAAGCTTAATAGGTCGGGCTATTAATGGATGACGGTGTTTATGTAATTTCATTAAAGAAAAACTAATCCCTATTTCCTTCTCAAATCCGTTCTCCTCCCATCCTTCTCCGAGCAAACTACAACATTCGTGCAGTTCTACAAAAACCTAGCTCAGGACCCCCAACCATCATTCTCATCCTTCGTGGTTTTGTACCACACAGTTCCACAGTCGTGTTCTCCCAGCAGCTAAAGCATCACAGTTCGACCGATGGCCAGGAAGCACCTGTTGAACATCAAGAGAAAGCATCCATGCCATTCTCAAGTCGGTAGAACTCCCATTTTTCATTTTCATCCATTTATATCATATTTCCTTTTCAATTATATAAAAATTGAAATTTATGAGTTATTTGATGTTTGGAGGTTTTTTTATAGAGTAGGATTCTCTCCCCTCTCTTATATTAATTTTTTATAGAGAGGGAAAGACAAAATAGAGAATGTGAGAGGAGAGAATGGAAATTTTTTATTATGTACATTCACAGGGATGAAGAGAGTGGTTATGTTGGATTTTTGGATCAGCGAGCCTGTTGGGGGCCCACTCTAAAAACACCGATAATATCCCCAACTTTATCACATGCCCAATTTGTCAAGTGTGAGCTTTTATCATAAAATGCCTCGATATTAGTTAGAGTGAGGTAATCATATTTAAATCCATTATTTTCTTTTGCACCCACCGATGTGGGATTCCAACACTCCCCGTCACGTGTAACCTTCACATGTGGAGATCCACACATCGGCAATTGAAACTCAGAGGTCGGCTCTATGTTAAGAGTGCAAACTTGTTTTCTATGGAACTCAAAGGCTGGCTCTATGTTAAGAGTCATGGCTTGTTTCCTTCTTGGTGACAAGATCGTTGGCTTGCATGGGCCCGAACCTTGGCTCTGATACCATGTTGGAATTTTTTTAGATCGACGGACCCGGAGGACCCCACTCTAACAACACCGATATTATTCCCAACTTTATTACCTGTCCAATCTGTCATGTGTGAGATTTTATTATAAAAGGTCTCGATATTAATTAAAATGAGATAATTATATTTAAATCCATTATTTTCTTTTGCACCCACCGATGTGGGATTCCAATAGGTTATGGAGTAGGTGCTCAACTGGTCCCTATCTTGGCTCTGCAGCAAGACGGGGCTCAAACATGAGGGGTGGAAACCGCAATCAACAATATGGTTAGCAGCAGTTGACGTTTAGTCTGATCATTATAATTTATTATGACATGCACCTCCTTGGTCCAAGGGATATGAGCTCGATGGTTTAGCAAGTGTGATCCCCAAGGTTCAAAGAGAAGCATCATTGAACCGCTGCTAAATAATTTCTACAAGATGTGATTGATTCATATGCAAAATATTCTCAAACCAGTGTTACGTTCTAACTTCTAACTTCTACCCGTTAATCTGTTACTTAGAAACAATATGCAGAAAAGTGGGAAATTGTCGTACGAATTGTGTTTGAGTTACTTTTGCAAAAGAATATAAAATAAAAAAAATAAAAAAAATGTTAACGTTTGTTAACAGGTTAAAAGGGTGACCTGTTAAATCTAACAGGCTGAATTTAGACGACCCGTTAGCTTAACGGGTTGAGTTTGGGTGACCCATTAGCTAAACGAGTTGGGTTAAAACCAATCTAAACCCAATAAAACCAACCCGTTTGCATATCTAGTTTTAAACCCGGTGATGGAGCTCGCACGGAAAAATGAAAAAAAAAAAAAATCTATTTACCAAACATTTGTTTTTTTGAACAAAAGTTAGCTTTTTTTAGCCATGTATCAATTGGTAATCCACTTTTGAAGGAGTCATTGTTAAGCATTACCAATCATTTGTACGCCCCAAATTTGAAAATAAAAAAGAAAATGAACGACCTTTGAGACCAATGATCTCTCCACCTCACATTTCCTAACAGAAGCAACCGTCATTCAGAGCTACTACCCTTATAAATACCTCATGACTCCACACTTTGGAAAGCAGGGGACACAAAAAGTAGTATTATTCAGTGCCCCAATAAGTGACCCCAACAGCTCTACAGCAACTCACCTGAAAAAGAAATCTTCCTTGTTTCTTTTTCGCCACCAGAATCTACATATAAAAAAAAATAAAAAAAATATTAGTTAGATTTTTAGTTATTTATATATATTAATTCAAACATGGGCGGAGCAGATGGATCTAACAAGAAGAAAAAGTTCGCCATCATCGGCGCCTCTGCCCTGATTCTGGTGGCAATGGTAGTTGCTGTAACTGTTGGGGTCACAGTATCACGCCGCGGCGGAGGGTCATCCGACGGCCACACCTCCACGTCCACAAAGGCGATCCAGGCCATTTGCCAGCCCACCGACTATAAGAAGACATGCGAGGAAAGCCTGTCAGGCGCGGCCGGTAACGTCACCGATCCCAAAGAGTTGATCAAAGTAGGGTTCCAAGTCACCATGGACATGCTCCGCGGCGTCATCGAGAAGTCCACCACGTTGAAGGATTTGGCTAAGGACCCAAGCACCGGAGATGCACTCCAAAACTGCAAGGAGCTCCTGGAGTACGCCATCGATGACTTAGGTGACTCGTTTGACAGGATTGGGGCCTTCGACATGAGCAAGCTCGATCTTTACGTGGAGGATCTCAAAGTGTGGCTCAGCGCTGCCATGACATACGAGCAGACTTGCTTGGATGGGTTCGAGAATACCACTGGTGATGCCGGTGAGAAGATGAGGGAGTTCTTGAAGACATCGCAGGAGCTCACCAACAACGGCCTCGCCATGGTCGACCAAGTTTCCACGATGTTCGGGGCTCTTAATGTCAAATCCGGCCGCAGACTCCTTGAGGCTACAGCTGGAACTGGTGCGAAGAAGTTCCAGAAGGCTAAGGTCATCCCTGCTTGGATTGATAATCGAAGGCTCGACCTCGCTACCGCCACTCCTCAGACGCTGAAACCCGATGTGGTGGTGGCCAAAAAAGGGGGTGGTAAGTACACGACTGTCAACGAAGCCTTGAAGGATATCCCCAAGGACAACGCAGTGAAGGTCTTTGTAATTTATGTTAAGGAGGGAGTGTATGAGGAGCATGTCCTGTTTGATAAGCACATGACCAATGTCATGCTTATAGGAGATGGCCCCACTAAGACCATTATTACCGGTAGAAAGAACTTTGCAGAGGGTACCAAGACAATGCAGACTGCCACAGTCGGTAAGTCAATTTTTTTCCTCTCTAATCAGACATAGTGTTATTATCAAACTATAAATTAAGACATTCAACCTGACGTGCATGCTATATTGCCATATTTTGTACGAGGTCATTCAAACATGATTCTACTTTTATCAATAGTTTAGATTCAGAGTCTGGTTGGTATGTACGTTATATATGTAGGTGTTGTGGGAGACTACTTCATTGCCAAGGACATTGGATTTGAGAACACAGCCGGAGCTGTCGGACACCAAGCCGTGGCTCTACGTGTACAGTCAGACTTGTCCATCTTCTACAACTGCAAGATGGATGGGTACCAAGACACCCTATACACCCAAACTCACAGGCAATTCTACCGCGACTGCACCATCAGTGGAACCATCGACTTCATCTTTGGTGATGCTGCCGCTGTGTTCCAAAACTGCAAGATGATCGTCAGGAAGCCACTCGAGAACCAGGCCTGCATGGTGACTGCCCACGGTAGACTGGACAGACGTTCTCCCACGGGTATCATCCTCCAAAACTGCACCATCTCTGGCGAACCAGGCTACGAGAAGGACCTGAACAAGGCATACTTGGGCAGGCCATGGAAGAACTACGCAAGAGCAATCGTCATGCAGTCCCAGATCGATGACGTGATCGCTCCAGAAGGGTGGATGGAATGGATTGGATCAAACAATCACCAATCTTGCTGGTTCGGTGAGTTTGGCAACAGGGGACTCGGTGCCGACCAGACCAAGAGGGCGACATGGCGTGGAATTAAGGAGCTTACCGCTCAGCACGCCGCGGACTTCACCGCTGGGAGGTTCGTGTTCGGTGATAGATGGATTCAGCCTAGCGGTGTGCCCTATGTCGCTGGCATGATGCCGTAAGTGTAGATATATAGAGCCGTTAGAGATTAATCTTATATTTTTAAATAAAGACAAAAAAAATTGTACTATTCTTATATGTATTAAATCAATTATAGCATTGTAATCGAAAAATCAAAAATTAAATTAATTATAGCGTATATACTTTGCTAACGTACTGTCAAGGCTTTTGCATAAGTTGTTAATTATACCATTGATTAGTTTGCATTCTTGATTAAGGATATTCCTTGATAATATTAAGGATATTCCTTGATATTTATAAGGATAATATAATATGAGTATACCTTAAATCCTTCAAACCCCTAATCCTTGACCCTACAATCACGAGAATATTTTAGTGTACCCGTAACACGAGTACATACAATATGCATAATGACATATGACGTATTGCCATGTATTCCGAACACATTATAAAATCTCTCTACAACCAGTGTCACTCGTACACAGTACTCCTCTGCCCATGGGCCAAACAACTCTTCCAAACACCCAGTACTCATCATAATAGAGCACTACAAAATTTCTTCTTCCAACTTGAAATTATAAAAATGTCCACCGAGTCCAAAATAAGAAAATAAATAAAACAGTAGTGGGTGTAACCATGCCACACCGGCTAGATCGAATGTACTGTTGGAGTTTGACAAGAATGAGAAGAAGAAAATATGCGCCTGAAAAACTAACTCGAGTTAGTCTCACCCAAGAATTCCCCTCTGTTAAATGAAATGATATTGATATTGGAGGTACAACTCCTCTCTCTTTTCACCAATAAACAAGGTTGCGCATTGTGCATCAGCACCCTTCTTTTGTACATATATTGGAGCTCTCTCTTGACTCAATGATCGGCTCCATTTTGGGAAGTCCCAACCACTTCTACATTGGAGGAGATCTATTATTCTCCTACATCGATGCATGCTTAAGAACTCAGAGGTTAACTTTCTCATTGTGAGTCCTAACTTTCGTTTACATTGGGATACTGTTGCCCACTGGTGAGTACCCAACATATTAACCAAATATTACATATTAAATTTTGGATAATGTTAGGGAGATCAAATTTTTAAACGAAATAATGTGTCATCAATAGAAAATAAGCATGTTAACCAACATTTAAGTAATAATTCAATTGTCAATATGTACATCATTTGGTTTACAAAATTTAGTTTTGAAATTTGGTCTCCTAGCATTACCCTTAATTTTTTATAACAACTAGGACATTAATTTAACACTCTCTCTTATTGTCTAATTTGCTACCAAAAAAAAAAAGGAAAAAAAAAAGGAGAAATGTTAAGGAGACTATCTCCAAGTAGAACTCTCCATAGACTCTCTACCACTTTACAGTTTAATATTAATTTTTGTGTCAACATTATAAAACTTTATGTCATAAACATGAGATGAGAGAGAGTCCATAGAGAGTCTCCATAGCATTTCTCAAAAAAAAAAAAAAGAAAAAAAAATAAAAAACAATTCGCCGACAAACTATTTTGGTTGGCTATGCTCAAAATTTGTCAGGGTGTATATACAGTGACAAAAAATTACATTGCGAGATTTGTGCGAAAAGTACCTCCCTAAGGATTTAGATTGCGAGTATTTAGTCATTAGAGTAGGCTTTTGTCAACGAAAAGCTTTGTCGTTGTAACAACCCGTCCTGGTTTTGACAAATCAAAAAAGGGTAACTTCGTAATTTCACTTTGGGTGGGATTTTTTATTGTTGGTTTTGTTTTTGGGTCCTAATGGGTGTGCCAAGGGGCCCACCCCTGAATTTTGGTCCCCCAGGCGCAACACCTCTCTCTCCCTCACCTTCCCCAAGTTCACCCCTTCACTTTCTCCCTCTCTTGGACAAACTCTCTCCCTCCCCCCGATCGACACACACGGACACCAACCTTCGAACCCACACCCCACAAACACCAACCCTTAAACCTAGGACCTCCTATTTCTCTCTCTCTCTCTCTCTCTCTCTCTCTCTCTCTCTCTCCATCACCTCCGTGAAGCTCCAGGGCACCCAAAGGACACCAAACCCAGGTCTAGTGAGCCGTGGGTGTGTGAGCTCAAGTCCGGCCACCTCTGGCCATTTCACGACGAATCTCAGGTAACAAACACTCCCTCTCATCTCTACCTTTATTTTGGGTATTAGATCATAGGTTAGTTTGGTCGATCGTCGTTGACTAGAGCTCGGGAGGCTTCGACCTTCATTCCCGAAGAGAAATGGGTCTTCGACCCACACCCGGAGCTCAAGCCCATTAAGCCTAGAGCTTTTGGGTGGGCCTTCAAGCCCAACCCATGTTTAAACCCTTAGTCCACCAAACCCTTTCGGAACCAAGCCCTTAGGGTCGTATAGAATTGGGTCTTCAAGCCGTTGCATCCGAGCCCAAACCCATTGAAATCCCAACCCATAACCCTTTTAACCTAGGTCGGGCTATCCAACTCAGGCTTGTTGAACCCAAACCCAGAGAGAGACAGGCCCTTGGGCCATCCAACTTGGGCCTCCGGCCTAATAACCTCAAACCTAAAACCTTATTAGACCTTAGGCCTTTGGGCCATAGAACTGGTCCACTAACCCTCGGCCGGACCCATTGACCCGATCTGATGATTGACTTAGTCAACGCTGACCATTGACTTTGACCGTTAACGTTGACTTTTGTTGACTTTTAATAGAGTTTTTGTTCCCAAATTCAATCGTTTTAATAGAATTTTATTAATTGGACCCTTTATGTGCTTAGGGGCAATTATTTGTGGCTTTTCCATCTTCGCTAGTTTGCGTGGCTCTTCAACGATGAAGTATTTGTGAGTGGACCCCTTCCAAAATGTATATTTTAATAGTAGAAATGCATACATGAAAAGCATGATTTAATGGTTACGTTTCATGAAACGTTTTATGAGTAAATTAGATTTACACTTTATGATTATCATGCTTTGCTGAGAATATTTTGGAATACCATACTTTATCGAACTTATGTTCTTTGTAGTATTTATGATGGATGACTATATGCTATGAAGATGCTTGTGAGATATATGTATTTATGTTGGAAAGATTATATTCAACGTTTTGTGATTATCTAATGGTCACTATTCTATGAAGATGCTTTTGAGATATATGTATTTACGTTGGAAAGATTATATTCAACGTCTGTGCTAGGGTTTTCGGCAAATTTATCACCTATTATGCTATGAGTTTTCATAAAACTTTGGGGGATAGTATGTTGATAACTGTTTCAGTATTTTATATATATATATATATGGGATAGGATCAATGGACAAACATTTTGACAAATATTTTTACACTCTTTTTAAGCCTTTAGATCACATGACATCCAATGGCTCTTATTATTCATTAAATGACATGGATGCTTATGTGGATTTTGACTAACATTAAAGAAAAAATAAAATGAAAAGTCATAAAATCTGAAATGAATTAAAAATAAAATTAACTAGGAAGAAACCCCATGAGCGTGCAAATAAAATGAAAAGCCATAAAATCTGAAAGGAATTAAAAATTAAATTAAATGAGAAGAAACCCTATGAGCGTGCAAACAAGAAAGGAGTAGAACTCCATTGCATCTTCTCTTTGCCGATGGGTCTGCAACCTCTGGCATCTTCCTTTTCAGTCTTGTAACTAGAACAGGCCAAGGTCTTAATACTTAAATAAAAAGGGGATGGCAATCCTTTACCATCGCAAGAAGCCGCTGAAGAGTCAATCTTTGTTGTTGACCTTCAACAGCAGCCATAGCTGCACCAGCTTCCTTTCCCAATATTGCAACGCTAGACTGCAGCTCCTGAAGCTTGGCTTCAGCAGCTTCTAGTTTCATGATAATATCAACATTACCTGCAGAATCCCGTACTTTGGCCTGGCGTCTGGAAACATCTATAGTCTATCCCGATGCAAGTTAGTATATATAGACAAATCTGAAGGAGTAACAAAAAACCAAATTACAAATTACGACAAAGCTTCAAGTGATGGAGTTCTACTTCTTTCTCTTTGCACGCTCGTAGGGTTTCTTCCCATTTAATTTTATTTTTAATTCCTTTCAGATTTTATGGTTTTTCATTTTATTTTTTCTTTAATGTTAGTTAAAATCTATATAAGCATTCATATCATTTAATGAATAAATAAGAGCTCTTGGATGTCATGTGATCTAAAGGCTTAAAAAGAGTGTAAAAATATTTGTCAACATGTTTGTCCCTTGATCCTATCCCTATACATATCAACTTGGTCCACTCAAGTTTGTTTTGCACCCCATCATGACTTAGAATTGAGGCGCATAATCCCGGTGTCAAGCTACTCTCGCATCGGCATCTTCGAGTCCTCTCGGTGTGGGACCCACTCCTTTGTTCATTCAACTTTATATTATTTCTTTTTAGTGTTCTAGATTAGTTGTATGCTCTAAATACGTTCCTCATTTGCATATTAATTATATTTAAATTTATAAGTCTTATTTCTTTCTAGTTCTCATGCATCCTAATATGGCTTCGTCACCTTCGGGTGTTAGCCAGCACATGCCTACCCTGATGTTTGGGAGAACATCAGGGTTGGGCATGTCAGCCATCACGTGCGACAGTTCAATTTTGTCATCTAGGTCTTGACAAATAGATTTGTTGCTAAAGGAAATTTACCGGACGAAATTAAATTCGCCGGGAAAATTTCGGGGATCTAAAAAAAAAAATATCCATGATTGAAACAAAAAAAAAATTAGATCATTTAATTGACAAATGAAACAAAGTTGAATTTCATACATAAGAAACTGATATGTATGCCAAGACATAACAAAGTTTACAAAGTGTTAATGACCTAAAGGATCTTGAGAGTCTCTTTCCATTTGAAATGCAGCATGACACATCACTTTAGAGTCATTTGAAATGGAGCACGAGCATGATACATCGCTTTACGAAACCTGAAATATATGCACAACAATCAATTGAATGAAAAATTTGTCTCAATCCCAAATGACAAATACTAAGGGAATTCTCTCAAAAGTGACTCTCTAAAAACTTTCTATCACCTTACAGTTTTACATTATGCCAACATTATAAATCACTATGCTAAAAATATGAAATTGCAGAAAGTCTATAGAGAGCTTCACTATTTAGATAATCCTTTTAGCATTTCTCCACCCAAATTATTTTCTAGATCATGAAACTAATCGACTTGCCATAAGTTCCTCATT